GTGATAGTTTGTTTCATAGGGCTCAGTATTCAATTTTGTATTAAATCTAAACAACTGCTGTGAACAGCACAATCAGTGTATACAGTTCAAATAGCCATTTGGTGTACAAAGTGAGTTTGAGACTAGAGTGTGGACGTAATAATGGTTGCAATTGCTATAGCTGTTGCTACAGTGCCAGTTAGTCACGGAATCAAACTAGCACAGCTTTGTAGGAGGCACTCCCCACTCGCGTGAGTCAGCCAGACATGACAACCAGCACTGTGTAACGATGAAGTCATCATTATGTGCGTGCCTGCTCGCACATGTGTTCCGCACGTGCTGCGTTTTCACGGTCTACCCGTCAAAATAACAATGTTACGGTGAACCGGAAAAAACGTGCATAGAAAAAGTTGCCATTCCACTACTGAGGTAATTTTGAAGTACTTGAAAGCAGCTGGCCCGGCACTTGTTAGTTGAAAGCAGCCGAAACATTACTGTAGTGACAGTGTAGTCACTCTTATTATTAGACTTAGATTGTTGAACCTGTCATGCATTTATTACTCATAATAGGTCTACAGTTCTATTTATAGGTATCCATGTACTACTTGGCCAGTAAAACTGATTTGTCTCTAGGTTCACACACGTGGCATATAGGGACTATAAGTTAGAGACTTTGGAATGGTTTATTAGAACATAAACCAGGTCTTTTACTTCCAGGTATTGTCCTGTAGGAATATATGTAAAGAGGTTGTTTATTTATTGTTCCTAAGCAGCCTGAATGAAAGACCGACTAACAGTTATGGGCAATTTAGTTACGGTGCAGATCAACGTTTACTACAGGTGCACCCACGACATATTTAAATATTTATTGGCATATTATATTTTATCTGTGCGTTTGCAAGATTTATTTTCTTCAACTAGTAAAAACACTAGGAAATTGGAGTAAAAAAGTGGCATAACTTTGAATACACATGTCGGGGTCGGGTTTTTCCACTGTGAAACTACTTTGGCGCTGAAATAAGAAAATATTGTGCAGCGCATTGAAAAGTGTGAGTAAAACCTAGCTCAAGTGACATTACTGACCTAGAATTTGCGCACGTGAGCTAGGTTGGTCTGCAAGGCTTTCACAGTTTGTGGGTTGCCTATAATAGTAGTGGTTTACTTGTGAATTGCATGGCGCACCGTGTGTGTGTGTCCCATATTGTTGCCCATATATGTTCAATTTATTTGCTTTCAGATTTGAGAAAGGAAGAATCTATACGTACATTGGAGAAGTGCTGGTGTCGGTGAACCCCTACAGAAGTGTTGAGCTCTACGGCAGTGAATATGTACAGAACTACAAAGGGCGGGAGATATTCGAGCGGCCTCCGCACATATTTGCCGTTGCGGACGCCGCCTACAAATCCATGAAGCGACGATTCCAGGACACCTGCATAGTCATCTCAGGTAGCCGACTCGTGACGCGTACGCTTGCAGTAGTGGTGCACACGTTTAAACACCGAGGAACCAGAGCATGGCCCCTTCTTTAGTATCATAGCAAGACATTGCTAATTTTGGGTGGAAATGTAAAAGGCGCAACCTCGTCAACCATTGAATGCAGGGGTCGAAATAAGCGATGGTCCGATGCTTCGGGGCCATCAAATAATCAGGAGGACCATCAGATTTTTAAAGTCAATGGTCCGACGGACCAGCATTGAATATTTTGATCCCATTTTACGGTTCCTAGCAACCTTTGAGCCAGGGCGCTATCGCACCACATTCTCACGTCAAACCTTCTCAAAGGTCGCTGAAAAAAGCAGCCACCGACACCCACTGTTACCATTACAGATTTATTCAGAGCGGCAGCGATTACCTCCCTGGCGGGGGCGCATTGCTTGATGTACTGGTGGGAGGGGGGGTGCACAATTGTTTATAAGTCGCTTGGGCATGTTCATTACTGAATATGTAGGAAATGGGCATTGCTGGGATGAAAGGACGACAGCAAAACTCTCATGGGATTGAGGAAAAAGCTGCAAGCTGCGATCACAATGAGCGTGCCGGCACGCAAAAATAAACGTTGTGTGAATTTCATTACGATTTTACATGTACTGTATTTACTCGTGTGTAAGTATTATTACCTCTGCCCATGGAGTTAACGGAGTAACGGAGTGGAGGGGAGGTAATGTAATCGGTCTTGTGTGTGTGTGTGTGTGCGTGCGTGTGTGTGTGCGTGCGTGCGTGCGTGTGTGCGTGCGTGCATGTGTGTCCAGTTCGCGTGGCGCGATCGATAGCGCGCCGAGTCAGTGAGCGGCGAGTCAGCAGCAACCACCAGCGAGCGGCGAGTCAGCAACCGCCACCAGCGAGTGGCGAGTCAGCAGTACAAACATTGGTACATTAACAAGATTTCTTAGCCTTGGCTACAAGTCGCACCCCCTGATTTTTTTTATTGAAGTTGTGTACAAGAAAAGTGTGGGGGTATACACTAGTAAATATGGTATATACTGTAATATCAGGAGTGCATAATATAGCTATATATATTATCTACATCTATCTATATATGTTATATATATGTGTATATATTTATACACTCCTGATAATACGATATGCACTGAACCAAAAGAGGACCTTAACGGCTCATAGGTTGCAAGTAAATTTTGGACAAGTAAAATCAAAATTCGTACAAGTAAAAATTTCTTCTTGTTGTCCGACAGGACAACCAGATCTGAAAATAAGCGTCGGGGCCTGGCGTGATTGGTCAGATTGTCCCTCTTCCTGTTTTGATTGTGATGACTTCCGGTGGACACCCAAACAGCGTCTTTCTTGTTAATAAGATAATATGAAATATAGGCATAGTCTAATGGCGAGCGTCATTACATTATCTGACCTTTGCATGGAAATAGATGTATACATGTTTATATTTATTTCTATGGACTTATATAATAAAAAGTGTTAAAACATAATATATAAACATACTATATTCCGGTGTTATGGGTTCAACTAAATTCTAATGAAACAACTTTATTAACCAATATACTATTAAACTGAATAAACAATTACTGTATCGTTTGATACATTCATTGTAGGTGAATAATTAAACCATTTTATCACCATGTAAAATCTCTTTCTTACGCTTGCAGGCCGCATTACTTTTAGAGAACAATTTTGAAATTTAGGAGGACCATCTAAATTTCAAACTTGATGGTCCTGTAGACCATCTCTTTGTTTCTCCTTATTTCTACCCCTGGAATGGATATTGTACATGACATGTTAATATAGATGGACACTTCTCACCTTTATGAAATTCGTATACAAACAGAGAGGCTAAGTGCAGATGTTGCTGTGCATTTAAGATCCTGTATGTGTGTGTGGGTGGGGGGGGGGGGGGCGTGTATATCTGTCTATACGAGCAAGCATGTCTGCTCCGTGCACGGCTTGAATCTCATCACGGTAGCAGGTGCCGTTGTTTTCCCTCCTTACTTCCCTCTCTCCTAAAATTCTAACCCTGGAGTCCTATGTCACCTATGTGCTGCTTATAACTTAAACTACCTAGCCACGCAGGTGCTAGAACTATCTAGTGCTATGAATATGGCTAAAATAACAGGAAGTCAGTGTTTGGCATCCTGTACTTCAGCTTTGGGATTATATATTGATGTGCAGGGGCGTTGTACTGTAGTGCTACATGGTTACAAACATGGTCACGAGAAGTCTGTATGGCAACACTCCGAATTTTGTGTGTTGAATCTTTAATGTTGAATCAAAAACGACTTTTTTAGTACAGTGAAGATGAGCCATAACATCTGCAGGGCTAAATCTGAGTCTGGTCTCAATAATCTCTGTCAGGTGTCAGATCATTTATTCTGTGAACAAAATTAACAATTAATTCCCATGCGTGAGTTTTAGATGCTGTAATTTTTGGTGAAATTAGTGAATAAGGTTGTGAAAATGAGGTAAATATCTGCTCTCAAATTGCGAGTTTTAACCTCAATTTGTATCGTGAATGGATCCAATAATCAGACGCAAATTGGACCTACATAAACCCTAAACCCCTGTTAGGATATATGCTGTACTCTATTCAAATATCCAGGCCTTATTCTCAGCAGAGAAAGTCAAGTACCATATCAATCAGAATAGGGAATTGCGTTCCTTATTATCTACTTCTGATATCAATGTATATATACATTAGCTGTACGGTCTATGACTAATTTTGTTTGTTCCTAATGTGTGCTTGTACCTGTATATGGTATATATAAGTGTATCTAGCCTCACTACTTAAATATTTGTGATGCATAGATAACACAATAACCCACATTTGTGCAGAATTACTGTATGCTAACACTGAAATTCAAGATGTGCTGTACCAGATGTACGTAGGTACATACTAATACATTTACATAATTTGGGAAAATCAGTACACATCACATTGATTTCTGATTACAGTGTGTTATATGTACAATCACATTGTGTTTTTATTTTATTTTTCATGTGAACAGTTTCATTTAAAATTTAGTCAAAACTATGCAAATAACAACTGTATCTCATGCACACAAATAAAGAAACTCACTATGCGGACTAATTCATGACATTTGATTACTGATTCAACGTTATTCATTGACATTGTTATTTCCAATACCTATTAGACAGTAATGTAAATAACAACCACTGGCATTTTCGTTTCACCGTATTGATCAAATACATATCTATTTTAGGAGAAAGTGGCTCTGGCAAAACTGAAGCATCGAAGATCATTATGCGCTACATTGCCGCTGTTACAAATGTCAGCCAGCAGCAGGAAGTGGAAAGGTATAATTAGTGCATGGGGAGCTTGGGGGCAAGTGATTCGTCTCGTTATTTAGTATTTGCATTGCAATTGCACCACATGCAGCAGTTCCCTAATGAATCTCTCTGCTATGTTCTCTTTCTCCCCCCTCCCTCCCCTCCCTCCTCCCTCCCTCCCTCTCGCCCCTCCTTCCCTCCTCCCTCCTCTCCCTCCCTCCATTGCCCTCTCCCTCACCCTCTCTGTCTGTCTCTGTCTCCCTCTCTGCCTCTCTCTCTGCCTATATTATGTACAAATACAATTTGGTGGCATTTGTTAGATTTACTGTGTAAAGGAATGTATTGAATCGGCTTGCTTGGTGTTAGCTATTTGAACACCACTACTGATTACTGCAAGAGCAATATCACGTGTTCTCTGTCTCATACTTTCTTATTTGCATTAACTTAAACAAGCATTTAGAGGGTGGACTAGTGGGTTGGCTAAACAGGGGGTGGATCAGTAGAAGTATGGTCATGATACACATAATATCAGGGGTTAATAATGACAAATATTTGAAAAATTTGTCATTATTAACCCCTGATAATATGTATATAATATACACATTTATTACATTATGTTACACATATAAATACTAATACATATTTATTATAATATACACATATATAATATTATAATAAACGGTTGAAATAATGTAAAACAAGCCATGGCATATATGTATGTTTGTTTCACTATAACTGTAATTTGATTGCAGGTTTGGTTAAGCAACTGACAAACAGAAGAGTAGACTTTTTATTTTTAAACTAAATACCCATTGATGAGTTCTTGTTAATCATTTAGAATAATATTCTAATTAATTCTAAGAAGGGGGAATACTGATTAGGAGATAGTTTGAAGTATTTGAACAATTGTATTAATATGCATTTATCATATTATGCTGGTAGTGAAAGCAATTGCTCAAATTTGTAACCCTTTATCTGAAATTTATCTTGTCAGAGTGAAAGACGTCCTACTAAAATCGAATGCCATTCTGGAGGCATTTGGTAATGCAAAGACCAATAGGAATGACAACTCCAGTCGGTTTGGAAAATACATGGACATCAATTTTGACTTCAAAGGTGATCCCGTCGGGGGCCACATCAACAACTACCTACTCGAAAAGTCACGAGTCGTCACTCAACAAAAGGGAGAGAGAAATTTTCACTCCTTTTATCAGGTGTGTCAGATATTTATGTTTAGTTGTTTTATTATATTATATTAGGTTTAGTTGATGATACCAGTGTTGTTACATTGGGGTATGTGGAAAGAAAATAGATGCTCTGGTTGAATGTATGGGGAGGATTAAATTACGTGCTGTCGTTTTTGAATGGACACGCTGATCCAATGGTACACAATTTAGGAAGCCTGATTTAAAAAAAACGTACTTCCCATCTTTTATATCGTATCAAACAATTAATTGATGTTTTAGAGATGTAGCTGCTTGGTTAGTGTGTTTGGAGAAGAGGAAATAGTTGGGGATGATTTACAAAGTTAGCAAGTTTTCCACTAAAACGTTTTCTTGATGTTGTAGTTGATATATGGTGCTCAGGACCAGAAGTTAGAAGAGCTCTACCTGGTGAAGGATCCAACAGAATATTTTTACATCAGCCAAGGCGATTCAACGAAGGTATAGCTTAATCCTGGCAAAGTTATAGATGGTTCATCTAAATATAACTTCTAGCTTCTATAGCCCAGTGAAAACTTTTCATTTTGTAACCTCTTTATTATTGCTAAATTGTTATGGTAGTTTCGCAATTAGAATTTCCTTACATTCCCAGAAATTTACACTAAAAAAGAATAAGCAAAACCATTGTTTTCCCACGAGGTGGGGTTGGGGGGCGAGCACCAGTCTATAGCCTGGTTCCAATAGGTGATATCTGCTATTATTTCGTTTACTATGCCAAAATATTTTTGATGGAATTCGCTCGTTGGTGTTGCCTGTCCAGTCACGTGTATGTGATTGTTCTGTATTTGAAGAGCTTATTTGCAAAACTGTCTATGTCCATTTTTTTCACAAATGAGTTTAAACCACCAATGTATAGTATGTATGTGAATATAGGTACCGTGTAGAGCAGTGTTGTAGTCGAGTCCGCACCCCCCGAGTCCGAGTCCGAGTCCGCGCCACCCGATTCCGAGTCCACACTGCTCGAGTCCGAGTCCGAGTCCAGTTTTGATTAAAAAAATGGGCGGCACAGACCGACAAGGCCACTCACTTCTATGTATGTGTTTGTTCAAAAATGGGGGAGGGGGTGTCTCCTGCCCCCTGGATCTGTCACTTGTTTGCATGAAATAAAAAGTACAGTAAAACTTGCATAAGTCGACACTTTTGGGACCAGCATATTTGTGTCGACTTAGGATAATGACGACTTACGCGTAAGTCATCATTTTGTCGATTTATACAATGTATGTAATGCGTGTATACACTGTATTAGCTGCAGTGTTGTAGTCACGTCCGCACCCCCCGAGTCCGAGTCCGAGTCCGAGTCCGAGTCATTGCACTCCGAGGCCGAGACCGAGACCGAGACCAAGGAAAACGGTCTCGAGGCCAAGACCGGCCTCGAGACCTACAACACTGGTGTAGAGTACCTTTTTGTCTTGAAAAACAGCCTACATGCTTAAAAGACTCATGATAAGTCATGTTTAGCTTACATTCAAAAACCGTTAGTTGTAAAATAGCCTATATATCTATCAGCACATTTTAACCAATGCTGAAAACAATGTAAATGATTGTCAAATAATTGTTTTTGTCGTTTTCTCTCATTTCTCCAAAATGGAAATACGCAGTTTTGCAAATAAGCTCTTCATTTGTTGAGTCACGCCGACTCATTGTGACTTTGTGTTTTAATATGCAGGTGCCAACGCTCAACGATAGGCATGACTATAAGACTGTGATGGCTGGATTGAAGTCCATCGGCTTTGCATTTAGACATGCGGAAACGTTGTGGAAGATAGTCGCAGCAGTTCTACATTTGGTAGGTGCAACCGATGCTGCTGCCATTTTGCGTACACGACTTTACTATAGTACAATGATAATGCCAGGAGTACGTGGACATGTGTTTTTTTATGTATTTCTTTGATAACACATCTTGTGTAAGGCACAAACCCTACCCCTGTTGCTGGCTATACTCTAATGGGTATGTTACTGTTTTGATTGCCTGAGTTTCCCACCATCGCGTGGCACCGCTGTATAGGTAATACTTATCACGGTGGAAATCAGCAGTAGATGGCATCCATAGACTGCAGTAGGTATAAATAAGAACATGATTAAAAAAATACTCAAAAATACTTGGAGATTCTTAGCTGTTGAGCCATGAAACATTATTGGTGCTAGTGAAGTGTAGAGTCATCCAGAATGCAAGTGCCGCAATCAGGTCGTTGAAACAACTTGGTCAGCATATTTACTCGGTAGTATATGTTTAGTTCTTTGTTTTTTCCTAATTAAATCTGTAGTGTCAGATAAAGACTTGTATGCAGGGGAAAAAATATAATTATTTTTCGGGTGCTACTTTTCAAGCTCGCGTGCATGAAAATAGCACTCTAAAATTTGGTTTGCATTGAACTCTATATGCAAATTTACGGGGGCTCTTTTTGGCATTTCGGGGCTAAATCGCCCCGAGCCCCCATGTATTTTTTTCACTGCTTGTATGTCGTTGCTAATTATTATTATTATTATTAAATCTTTATTGGATGTAATTCAAATATAAATACATGTACTTAAGACTGACATGGACTTTCATGGAGAAAAAACAATTAACGCATCTCCTCTCACTGCAGGGTAGTGTAGTAGTTTTGGTAATATGTAGGGTCGGATAAAAACTTATTTGTCATTGCTAATTAACGCGTTATTAATGAATTAATCACTGCAGGGTAGTGTAGTAGTTTTCCTAATATGTAGTGTCGGATAAAAACTTATTTGTCATTGCTAATTAACGCGTTATTAATGAATTGATCACTGCAGGGTAGTGTGGAGTTTGCGGTGGAGGGCGATCATACAATCGTGACAACCAAAGAGAAGCTGAAGGTGCTTGCAAGCCTGCTGTCGGTCACCGAGGAAGACCTGACGACGTCGCTCTGCTCTCGAGTGATCGCAGCCAGGGGAGAGGCCATCAGCAAGGTGCACACCGTGCCCGAGGCACTCTACGGACGAGATGCCCTCGCAAAGGTTAGCAGCATGCCGGCTTCTGCGATGCGATCGCAAACTCCTTTGTTGTGCACGTGTGTGTGTGTGTGCGCGCGCGCGCGTGTGTGTGTGTGTGTTTGTGTGTGTGTGCACGTACGTGCGTGTGTGTGTGTGTGTGTGTGTGTGTGTGTGTGTGTGTGTGCGCATGAGTGCCTGCAAAAGTGTATGTGTATGGGTATGCTTGTGTAGTTGGACATTTGCGTGCGCGTGTGTGTGTGTGTTCATATGTGAGCACGTGCGTGATTGTGTGTATGTTCCTTTGTGTGTTTGTCCGTGATGAGAGCAGTCTGTGCCTGTGTGCTTGTGCATGTGTCTGTATCTGCGAGCGTAACTGCAGGGATGTGTGCCTGTCTGTATTATATGAGGTTTCTTAGTAATTTGAATTGCATTTTCTGGTGCCTGGTTGCTAAGAAAAACCGACAATTTATGTCTTCAGTAAACTCGTTAACCCACCTGCAGTGTAGCCGACACGGCTCCTCTGCTATAGAGAGATGTAAAAATTCTGTATTACATAGTTCTCCGCTGACTTTCTATAATGCTGTCGATGGCTGTATGAGAGAATGAGCTAACTACATGCAGGGATGAGAATGTTCCTCGAATCCGAGAAATTTCTCGGATTTGAGAGTCCTTGGGGTTGATTTTGTGAAACATCTAAATTCGATAAGAAAGGTTTAGGGGGGGGGGATAAGGTTAAGAATGTAAAATCTGTATTTCAACTCAACAGTATCTTTATTCAATAAGATTCTTCTTTGTACATGTATTGGTTACATCATGTACACATAATGTGAGAACGTGTGTATAATAATATTATAACAGTAACACAAGTTTGTATTTAGCAACAAGTAAAACACATTCTATTAGTTTTAATGAAATTTGTAAATAGTTGGCTTCCCCTCCTCCCGACTTGTGATTTACTTTGAAAATGAAATTCTTCATTCTCATCCATGTACATGTCACTTTCATTAAAACAGGCAATGTATGAGAAGATGTTCACATGGATAGTAGGCCGGATCAACGAAGCCATAGAGGTACAAACAAATGGCTATCAAGCGGGCAAAAATACGGTCATCGGTGTCCTTGACATCTATGGATTTGAAGTCTTTGACAATAACAGGTATGCTGACATCAATGTCCAGTCTTTGTCTTCAATTCCTCCTCTCCTGCTTACAACGGAAACATGTGCAAGAGTATCGTGTGTAAAGATGTAGGCATTTATTTTATGCACCGAACCAGCTCCGGTAAGGCAACAACTGTCTCTATGTTAAGCTGGGTTTACGCTATCAACTATCAACTGACAAGTTGGTCAACTTTTTAACTAATTGACCGAAAGTCGGCAGTGTAAACGTAAAATTTGAGCCCTCAACAAAAAATAGCAACTAGTTGAGAGATAAGAAGATTAGAGATAAGAGATAAGAGATAAGAGAGAAGTTGAGAGATAAGAGATAAGAAGATGTTCTGTTTTCTCAACCTTTGGTCAGTGAGTTGAGTAAGTTTTTGCTGCTCAGCCACTCTGATAATAGCAATCAAGAGGTGTGTCCCTCCACCCAGGGGGAGAGCACGGTTTTGCTATCGGCACCACACTGGCGCAAATTAACACATTCAAAAATGCACATCCATATTGCCCCGCGCGCACACTGCAGGTCAAATGTTGAAACGTTTGCCGAACTCGCGGTCGATAACATAAAAAGCTTTTGAACATCTGATAGAAAGGTTGATAGATCGTTGAAAAGTTTATCAACTCGTCGACTTTTCCATAGTGTAAACCCAACTTTATGTGTATCCTGGGACTCCAGGTTAATTTACCGATCTCTGCTGTCTTGCACCTGCACTAAAGGTAGGCAGAGGGGAGCAATTGTTCATGTGTTACGTGTACTGGGGATGTATTCGTCATGTACCTGGTTCATTTGCTGATCTCTACTGTCTTGCACCCGCGTTAACGATCCGTCTCGCATTGCAGCTTTGAGCAGTTCTGCATCAACTACTGTAACGAGAAGCTGCAGCAGCTGTTCATTGAGCTGGTGCTGAAGTCTGAGCAGGAGGAGTACATGCGGGAGGGCATCGAATGGCAGAACGTGAGTCGCACACACTCCGTTTTCCCACACACTGATCTCTATATAATATATACTATATATTATATACTATATATACTATATACTATATACTATATACTATATACTATATATTATATACTCATACTATATACTTTATTGAGCTGGTGCTGAAATCTGAGCAGGAGGAGTACATGCGGGAGGGCATTGAGTGGCAGAACGTGAGTCGCACACACTCCCTCCTCCCACGTGGCCACGCTCGTAACGAGGCGCTCTCGCTGGAGGCACTCGACACTCTTCCAACTTCGTCTGTATCACGCAGGGTTGCCGAATATAACAGAGAGTTTTGTTGTCCGCTTTTATGTTAGGCCGTGGATACGCGTCTGGTTACCGGACGCCTAGCTCCCATGCTACGCGTCCGGTCATATATTTCTTATGTGAACCCAACTGTATTTTTTACCATAATATTACTTACCTTTAGGTATATTATCAAACGTTTGAAGCAATATTAAATCCAGTAAAATCAACGATTTGAAAGGGGGCGTGGCCTAATCGTGACGTGGATTTGGGAATCTGTGCTGAGCTTTGTAATGGATGACCGGACGCATAGCCACTGCGTTTATGTTATGATGGCAATGTCGTTTTTACTGTTTTCTAAGTTTACAGGAAATTTTTTTCGGTCAATTTTTTTCTCAATTTTGTAGCTTGTTGGTGCAATCGTGCTCATCTACGACATTCACTTCAGGTGGAGTACTT